CACGCACACACGCACGCAGGCACGCAAGCACGCTTGCACGCGCGCGCGCGCGCACGCACGCGCGCACACACACACACACACACACACACACACACACACACGTGATCTCTCCCCACCTGCCTACAGGATCCCGAGTACCGTCTCACGGGTTGTATTGCTCCCAAAGCTGACGTCTACGCTCTGGGAGTCACCATGCTGATGCTGCTGACGGGGCGCAGCAGCCCAGCAGGGGTGGTCGCTGATGCCACAAGCGTTGTCCAGGCAGCCAACTGTATGAGACCTGATGCGGCGGCATTCGACAAGCTGATCGACAGCTCAGCTGGCGCGTGGCCACGTGATCAAGCCCTGAGATACAGGCTGCTGGCTTGCAAGTGCTGCCAGGAGCACCGCTACGTACGCCCCGAACTGACAACAGTGCTGACAGAGATGGGAGAACTGGCGGCGCTCGCTGCCAAAGCACCTCAAGCTGAATCGGCACAGCTGAGCGCCACCAGCGCTGACCAAGGAGCCCGGCGCCCTGTAGAGGAGCAGCTGGAAATCGACAAGCTCTTTGTGTGCCCGATAACTACGGTGAGCAGGTGCTTTTGAAGGGGGCGAAGGGGATTCTGTAGGGGAGTCAAGGCTGCAAGGTCCCACCTGCATGTTTGCTGTAGGGTATGTGCCTGCGTTCTTTGTGAAGTTGTCTACGCAACGCATCGTAAAAAAATGTAATAGCTGGCCAATCATTGTTGGCTTGCAGGACTGCGTACCATGTTGCCACTGCTTTGAAGCTGTTGAGGGCAAACCAAGTTCAGGCGTGCATGCTGACTGTCCACGTCACCCTGAACACGTGCTTGCACCTGCGCAGGAGCCAATGACTGACCCGGTGGTGGCTGCAGACGGCCACACACGAGCGCACCGCCATTGTCTCATGGCTGGCATCGCATAACACGTCGCCGCTGACAAATGAAGTACTTGCCACCAAGGTGTTGGTGCCAAACCTCATGGTCAGGGCCGCCGTCAAGGAGTGGGCTGACCGCAAGCGGGCAGCTGCACAACAGGCCTCTGAAGTGCCGGCGCCGCAAACGCCGCCCCCGCGGGCGGCGGCGGCGGCCACAGCCGCCGCTGCCTCGACCGCACAGGCCCCTGCTGCGACGCCGCCGGCGGCAGCGGCGCTGGCCTTGCTGCGCAGCGGCGACCCTCAGCGTGCTGCTGAGGGTGCGAGGATGATGGCCCTGCTAGCCTGTGGTGATGGCCGCGAGGGGGTTGCCACGGAGCCCGGCGCCCTCGAAGCCATAGTCGACGCGCTCTGCAGCCCTGTGACGGTTGAGGCTGCTGCGACGGCCTTGTCGGGGCTGCGCGTGGATGGCACTGTGCTGCAGCAAGTCGCTGCAATACCCGGCATACTTCCGCGGCTGGCACTGGCAATCAGCTGCACCAGCACAACACGCGGCGCTGCCTGGGCGCTGGGTTGGATTGCCACGGCTGGCCCTGAAGTGCGGCACCAGGCTGTGTCCACACCTGGCATGCTGCCTGCCCTCGCGGCGGCGGCGTGCCGGGACCCCACAGGCATGGCGGTGTGGGCGTTGCACAAACTGACAGCGTTTGATGAGGCAAACGTGATCCTGAAGGTCAGGGCAGCCAGCGGCATCCCATCTGCGCTGGCTGCGGCACTGCGCAGCGGCGTCGCGTACGCAGCCATGGTGCTTTCTAAGTTGGTTCAGCGCCCCGGCGAGCTGCGGAGCGACGCCTGGAAGGATGCAGGCGTAATACCGGCCCTGGTGGCAGCGCTTGGTCATCCAAACGACGACACCGAGTACTTGGCGGTTCGTGCGCTCGTCTCTGTTGCATGGCGCGGCGCGTCATATCGGGAGCAGATTGGGGCAGCGCCTGGCATCCTGCCTGCGTTGGCTACCCTCCTGCCCAACCCAAGGGTGGCAGAAGCATGCGCGTCGACCATCAGCTACCTAGCCAAAGACGGGGATCGTATCTCACAAGCTCTTGCCACAACTCCTGGCATGCTTGCGGGACTTGTGGCGGCAGCGGGCAGGGAGGAGAGCGCCGGGTGGGCTGTGAGGGCGATTGCAGCAATAGCAGCCAGCAAGGCCGCCGCAGGGCACATAGCACGCACACCTGGCGCGCTGGCCATGCTGGCGGCGTTGATCCCTGACAGGATCGGAAACAGGTCTCGCAAAGCCGTTACGGCTGTCAAGCGGCTGGCGGGCTGTGATGATGTCACTGTGGTCCGCATGGTGATGGGAACCGAAGGCATGATGCAAGCCCTGGTGTCGGTGCTGGGCAGGCCTTCCATATCGGCCTCTGCTGCGAAGACGTTGATGATGATGGCTGAGGCTGGGGAGGACTGTGCTGATCAGGTCATGGCTGCCCATGCTGCGCTGCGTTCGACGCCAGCACGCACTTGATGAGCGCTTTCGGCTTGTTCAAGCGGGCGCTGTGAGCTGGTGCACGAGGACAGCTTGGATAGGCTGGCCTGCTAGAAGCAGAATTGCCTGCGATCCCAGTGTCTGCATTGGTGCTGTTGGGCTTTGCAGCTGGATCACTTGCAGCAGTAGTTGCCGGCAGCGTGCGTGCGATCATATGCAGAGCGTTGTACGTACACGCATGCTGCCGCTTTTGTTCTATGGACTTGTTTTGCTTGCTGCTAGCCAAGCAAAGGAGGGGCTGATGCACGCATGATTTGAACATTATGATTACTATCGTGCCTTGCACAGACATTGGGGTGAGTGGGGTGAGCCTGCTGTTTAGTACTGACACCAATGATAACCATAGTATATATGAATACAGGTTTTCATCCCAGACCCCTTGTTTCATCCCAAGAAACCTGAGCACTGAGGGCAAACCTGACCAAACCCATTGGCGACTGGTGATGGCAAGGGGTGGCCCCTGGCTAAGGCCCCTTCGGCTCCCGGCAGCTGCCCCTGTTATTGATGGCAGCTTCTGAAATCGCTGTATACAGACCTGTAATAATGCATATTCCTATAAGCATGTATGGCAAGAACCACCCACCCTCCCTCCACCCACAAGCTCCACCCACTCGCTTCGCACCCCGCCGCTCAAGAGCGATTGCTGCAAACGGCGCCCAAAAAGGTGGGGCGAGAGGAGACTACAGCCACCCCCAGCCAACCCCAGCTGCTCCCAGCCCAAACCCCTGCATAGCCCCCACACATCTACTTCGACCTCCGGCGTCCCACCCCTTGCGCTGCAGAGCCTTGTGTCAACCGCATGTTTGACCCCATGAGCCATTCAAATCGCTCGTCATACCCCTCAACACAACATGCGTGCGGCATCACAGACTTCCAATTCACGATGCATATACCGGTACACGAGCTGTGAAAGCATGTTCTAATGCAGGTAGTGCACTGCTTTGGGCTGCAGTCGAGGGTTGGGCTGGGGCACTGTCTATGTATATCTGGGTGGGCCGTGAATGAATCATCTAGACCAGGCATGATAATTGCCAATTCAACGACGTGGCAGCGGCAGCGCACTCTTGGGCAGCGCCCCACCTGCTGACAGTAATAGGCTTTAACAGGAGACATGCAAGCTTGGCGCACAGCACGACATGATGCCGATTGCAAGCACGGGGCGCCGATGCGGACGTCGTGGATGCCGCAGCTGCAGCGCTTGTAAACAGCGCGCTGGCTCGCTTGAGTTTGCGTTTCGGCGCACACCACCCTCAGGCGCGCGCGTGTGTGCATGCGCTGCCTGCTGCGCACGCCCTGCTGGCCCCTGGATGATGCTCACAAGCCTCATGCTTACGCGTCAGTCAATCTTGTGCGCTCTGCTGGTATCGTGCATGTGCTTATGCTGGCAGGGTTGCGCTGCTACCTTTGTTGCGCAGATTGCCATTCTGTCATTGTCACAATGAATGTCAAGGCTGTATTGGGAGATGACAGCAATCACACCAGGCAACACAACCACCAGCAAGAATGCAGTCGTACACAAAAACAAATAACATATGGGGGTGGCATCCTGTTGCCGCCCAGGAGGCCCAGGAGGGAGCCCTGAACAGCACACACTCGCGCAGTCAGGGGGGATGGCAGTAAGGGGGACTGTCATGTGGTGGGGCCGCCCCAGCGTGCGGCACGCTGCCCCAGGCATGATGCTGGTCCAAGGCCATGTGGTCGGTCAAACGACGCGCCGGCTGGTGGCGCGCCCCATCGCCATCCGGCCGCAGGTGCGCATGGTGCATGCTCGCCACCATGGATGCAGGTCGGCGCGGCGCATTGATGGCACTCCAGCAGACACTTGCGCTCCGTCACAGCCACACTGCACGGGCTTCACTCCGTATGTCTCGAAGGGCCTAATCTACCTACCGTTAAACGAAACACACCACGCTCCAGGAAACAACCCTCGTTTTCACTGGCGTGCGCGCGACATCCACCAAAGCTGGCACAACTAACCGCCGCTGACTCATCACAGCTCGTCCTGCTCGGGCCAGCGGTACTTCTCATCTTCCTGCCATCGGTCAGGGTCCACGTCACCCTCCGCTGACTCTTTGACTGCCGCCGCCGCCTCTTCAGCTTCCAAGATCCCGTCGCTGCTGACCACAGTGCTCGCGCCGCCGACACTGCCGTCAAACGCCGCTGCCGCCGCCGCCGCGACCGCGGCGCCCGCGACGCTGCCCGCGCTCGCTGCGTCCGGCGGCGGCGCGCGGCGGAGAACTGAGCTGTCGGGCGCGGCTGCGCCGGCACCGGCGGTACGGGGGGTCGCGGCTGAGAGGATGGTCTTGCTGCTGCTGCCGGCGCCCATGCGGCTGTGGCTGATGTGGCGCATGAGCTCGGCCTCACTCAAGAAGCCGGAGCGGTTGCTAGGCGGGCAGGAGCCGGGTAGGTATATTTGGGAAGGCGGGGAGCGGGCAGGACGCGGGTTAGGAACAAATGTGGAGTTGTTGATCCCGCAAAAGTGGGAGGAGGCTCGGCCAGGGGTGCGTTGTCACAAGGGCGGCCAGGCCTTCAGCAGGGCGGCGGGCGGCCGGGGGCCGCTCGAAAGCCACATGTGTCCCCCCCTGCTTTGCTCGCCCTGGGCGCCACCCTGCAACATCCTTGAGACAAGCGGCCATCACAATTTGACTCACGCGTCGAATATGTCAAATAGGAAGTTGACATTTGCTGCTGTGATGGCACGGTTGCCCAGGGTGCTGGTGACGACATCGCGGAAGCGCCGGCGGTCGATCGGGCCGTCAACCTGGCGGTTTGAGGGATGGGTACGCGTGTTGAGGCTGCGGTGAGGGTGCTATAAATGTGTGTAACAGAGAGAGTGCGTGTGCGCGTGCACGTGCGTGCGTGCGTGTGTGCTTTGCGTGCGTGCGTGTGTGCTTTGCGTGCGTGCGTGTGTGTGTGTGTGTGTGTCAAAGAGAGAATTGAATGCAGGCTCAAAATTGCCAGTGCCTAAAATTGGTCGTGCAGGAGATATGTGTTAGAGGAGGAAGGGAGCGTGGAGAGGGATAACGAGAAGGGAGTAGGGAAGTGCACGGGCCGCATCGAGGAGGCGGATATCACAGTAAGGCGCGCACCTTGCGGAGGGCGTCGATGATGTCATCCAGGTCGTCAATGTGCTGCACCAGCAGGACCCTTTTGGGTGGGGGTAGGGGGGTGGAGGCAGCAGCCGTGCGGCGCCGGTTATGTGGGCCGCATCGTCACAGGCCACAGGGCAAAGGCAGCGAACGGGGCAATGCAGGCCCGCGCCTCCGGCTGGTGTGCCGCATTGTGGAGGGGAGGGGGGTGCGAGAGGGCTGCCAGCAACGGCCAATTAGTAACATTGATTGGTGTTGTCAGCACGCCATGTGACGGTGCGTGACAACACCGGTCGTATACCCACCTGAGCATCTTCTGCTCGAACAGCTCGTGCTGAGTCATCTTGCGCCAGTGCCTGAAGTAGATCCAGCGTCCCAGGGGGTACGACAGTGTCGCGATCACAATGCTGGCCGCCACCACCTGTTGGGGGGGGGGCACACAAGTGTGTGTGTGTGTGTGTGTGTGTGTAAGGGGACATGCAGGAATGCAGGTGGCACACGGGAGATGGGGCAGAACAGCATTCAGGCCAGTGGCACCGGCATGCCGGAACACACTTGTACATGAGCTGAGAACCTCCACCAACACACACACACACACACACTCTCTCTCTCTCTCACACACATACACACACACACACTCACAGCCACACACAAACACACATGCACACACCATGTAGAAGTGCTTCATGCTCTCCTCCGGCAGCCCGCTGTGCAGGTTCATCCCGAAGAACGCCGGCAGTATGGTGGTGGCCATGACTGATATGTTGATCATGGACAGCCACAGGTTGACCAGGATGATGTGGTTGCGACTGCTGTCCAGCTGCATGTGCCACACCTCCCTGTTTGGGGGGGGGGGAGGTCGGATTGGGAGGAACGAGGAACCCTGTGCAGCGCAGAACGATCTCACCCGGGCGGTGTGGCGTGATGCTGACGCAAGTTCTTCAAGCAAGCTCGTGGTACAAATTCTCGGCGCAAGCTGGTGGCGTGGGCGCGATACTGTTCAATAGATGCAGACGTCAACAGACACAAGATCGGGGGAGATCAGATCCTGTCAGGCCAGATAACCTGGTGTTGTCGAGGTTCTCCTCGGCCTCCAGCAGGCTGCCCTCCAGTGACCTAATCTCCCTCTCATAAGACTCCAGCATGTCGCTCACCTGTGAAAATTGGGTTCTTTTAGTTGGAGAAACCAACTCAGGCAACATGACGTGCAGGTCAGGCATTGGCAGCTGCATGGCTGGCAGCCTCGCCGTGCGCGTTCCCAGTGTGCAGACAAGCGCACAGTCCCTGACGCCACATCCAGTCAGGGCCGCCGTTGGCCCGTCGTTGCCGCAACACCGCATGCCTGCAGGCGGCGGCCGACCCGCCCTCCTCGAGATTGCACCAACCCTCACAAAAGCGGATGACGGCCTGCAAGAACAGGAACAGGTGTGTCGTCTGACCCAAACCGCCGTGCCAGTATTGCTCACCGTTCGGAGGTACGCAGAGCTCATCTGGCTATGCGGCGCCCCGTGGCCATGCCCGCCGCCGCCGTGCCTGTCGTGCCCGCCGTGCCCGCCGTGGCGCCCGTGCCCGCTGCCGCCGCTGGCCGAGTGCTTCTTGGTGTGCGCGGTGACGGCGCCGGTGCCGGGCGGGTGGTTGGCCTCGTAAACCTCGTTCAGGAATGACGCCGTGGGGGCCGGCTTGAGGACGCCTGTGATTTCAGGGTTTTGCAACAGGCAGAGGGAATGGGTGCTGCTCATTGGTGTTGTGTGCCCTGAGGAGCGGCAGCGAGGCCGATTGAAGTGGGCTACAGGGTCCCTGGTTGAGAGGCTGCTGGGTTTTTGTTAAGGGTCAGCCAGGATGGGAGATGGGAATAGGCGGCACGCCCGCATGGCTTGACAGCGCCAGGCGGCTGGTGGCGGCCCTGCTGACGGTCGAGCCGTGAGAGTCAACGCACAGTGGTGCTCGTTTGACCACACCTTTTGAAACCCCTTAAAGTCCCTCAAGATTGAGGGTAGGATCGCGCCTCGACAAATGCGCGCCCACCTGTCTCTGGGCAGGCGCTGTACTGGACCTGCGGCGCGGCCGCCGGCTGCTGCGCCCAGATGGCCTGCTGCAGCTGGCGCTGCCATGTGAGGCACAGCTCCTGCAGGTGCTCCTCGTCCTCACTCATCTGAATGGAGGTGGGGGACCGTGGCGTTGTTTTAGTTGGACGTGATGCAGAGTGGGGTGAGGGTGCACTTGGGGGCGGCGGGGAGGGGAGGGACGGGTCAGACAGGGCGCCGTCGTGCCCTCGATTACACGTGGTACCCAAAAAAGCGAGGCGCGCTCCTCCAGCATGTAGTCGCCCCTCCCCCTGGGGCCCCTTTCATGGTCAGCACGCTTCAACCCACCTCCACCCCGACGTGCAAACCAGAACGTACACACGCGTGCTCACGCGTGCGTGTAAGCACACGCACACCTCTAACACGCACGCATGCTAGTGCACTGCATGCAGGGAACCACTCACAACTCACCGCGACGAGGGCCTCGCAGGTCTCCCTGACGTCGTTCTTGATGGAGGTGAGGAACTTCTGAATAGGGATCAGCTGGTGGGCCTTGTCCTGGGAAATTGGTCGAATTGCATGGATGGTTGAATTGCGAAGGTCGCTGCTGTTAGTACACACAAAGAAACAGCGAATTTCTGCATCGACCTTGACCGATTGTGTAACGGTGGGTGCGAGTGCGCGCGCTACTTTACCGGGGTCACGATGTTATTTCAAACATACAACTCCCCACGTTTCAGACGGCGGCGGCCCGCGCTTGGAGTCTGGAGCAGCAGTGACCACCACAAATCTCGCCGGATGGTGGCTCCGCCCCCCACCGTGGCGTTGAAGGGCCTGCGGGGCTGCTTGATCTCGTCCCCTATGGACTCCATCATCCAATTGAGATGCTGGGTCTTGGTGTAGAAATACTCTGGCAATTGGGGTGCGGAGAGGTTGCGGTTGGGGAGTGATTGAGGTGCAACTGGGGTGCGGTTGGGCTGCGGTTGATTGGTCGAGCCAATAGTTTCGCTAAGGGGCCCGGCGCATAAGGACGGCTTGACATACACGGTGTTTGTGGTGTGCGCTGAACTGACTGGCATGATGTATGATCTGAGGCTGGGGTGGGGTAAGGCGAGGCCGTGGGTGCGGACGTATGATGTACAGTCAAGGGTCGCGTCATGGCACCAAAGGCGGTACAAGATCGCATCGCGCCGGCTCACCCACTGTGGCGTCGAGCAGCACCTCCAGGACCCGCAGCTCAAACGGGAGCGCCCCGGGGGCATCCGATGGCCCCGGAAAGTCCACGTCGCCGCCATTTGTGGGGGCTTCGGCCCGGCCCATGACCTGCAAGCCATGTTCGTGAACACACGGTCGTCACATGTCCCCGCGAAAGCGAATTCACGGCGCCGCGTCGGAGCTGGGGGGCTGGCCGCGCAAGCACGCCGCCTATCCTGCATGGTGTCGAGCCAATCCACCCTCCGCCCCCGCGTCGGCCGCTTGGCAGCCTTTCCGCCTGCCAGGTCACCTTGATGATCTCTGCCGCCAGCTGCTTGGCGTCCCTGTCCCGCCGGCCTATGATTAGCACAGCCTTGTCAGCGCTGATGATGGCCTGGGCCACCTCCGTCTTGAACAGGATCTTGTCCTCCCTGCCAGGGTTGAGGGTTTGCAGGAATACATGAAGGTTTGAAGTAATACATACCGCGCATGGTATGAGTTGACGCATGGTATGAGTTCATCATGGTTTGCAACAGAACAGTGGGGGTAGTGTGACGTACACGGTGCACGCAGCAAACTGGGCTGCGTCGGGGGCGCAGGGGCTGCCAGAGCTCACAGGAGCGGCCGAGGGGCACCAGGGTCACTGGGAAGCGCACTTGCTTGGGATGCAGCCCACAGGATGCGTGAGCCCACAACAGCTACCGCTACGCGGCACGACTGCGAAATCCCTCGGCACGCCTGCCGGCTCCATATGAGATATGCACACGCGCGCTCACCCACCCACGCACGCGCGTGCGTACGTGCCCGTGCCCGTGCCCGTGCCCGCACCTGACCGCGATGGTGGCGCGCTGCGGCGCCGCGAGGCGCGATATCGGCGCGAAGAGCACCACATCACGCGGGTGCAGCTCCAGCTGCGACGCGGTGCGGGGCCGCCGCGACTCCCGCGCCACCCCGTTGGGGAAGCACTCGATCACCTAGTGAGCGCGTGCCAGGTTATGTTGGTGTGAGTGTTTGTGTGTGCGTGCATGGGTGCGTGTGCACGCATGTGCTGGTGAGTCAGTGGGAGTGATGTGCTGGGTCAGCTGCTGGGCTGCACGGCTACGATCAGGCGCTACGCCGGTTTGACGCACAAGCGCCGTCGCGGGGCGCCGCACAAGGGTGCCTGCAAGCCTTGCGCCCCGCGCGCCGCTGCAAGCGCCCGAGACGTGCGTGGCGCAGGTCATGCCGGGTACAGTCGGCTGCGTGCGCAACGCTAGCCGTGCCGCTGTGCAAGCCGGCAGCTCCAGGATGTGGGGCGGCGTCGCCCACCTGGAACGTCGGCTCTTGCCGCCGGAACCGCATGCGCGCCGCCCACGCCGCCTGGCCGTGCTCCAAGCCCTCTGCCAGCAGCCCAGCGTCAGCCGCGCCCGCGCCGTTGACGGCGGCTGCGAGGGCCCCGCTGCTGCCGCCCCCGCCAAGGCCCCGCAAGGCAGCTGTGATCACGCTGCCGATGCCCTCTGACGCACCGCCACTGCTGCCGCTGCTGCTGCTGCCGCCTTTGCTGATATATGAGCCGCTCAGGAACCCGCGGCGCCCCAGGTCGCCCCAGGGCGCCGATGCGGCATCAGACGCGGGCGTGCAGCGCTGCCGGCGACGCTGCGTTGGCTGTGCCGACGGCACAGCCGAGACGCCTGCGATGTAATACATGCCGGATTATATGTCGCGATATCCGTTTGATATGCTGCGAGCAGGTCGAATTGGTGTCGGCGAGCGCACCTTGTGCCAGACTGCATGTTCCCGCGAGGGCTCCGCTCAAACCATGATGATGGCGCTGTTGCAGCAAGAGGGAAAGCCTCCAGATCTGTCTCCCTTGGGCCATATTGTAGCCGGGTTAGCATGCAATCTCGCTAGATCCCTAGGCAAGCTGCCTATGCCACTTGAAACCGGCGCAAAACATAGATGTCGGTGTTTTGAGTGTGTTGTCACAGCCCGTGCAGCGCGCTCCTCGGCGCCCGCGGCGGCACACATCGTGTACTTGTACGGGTGAGTGGGTGACGGCAACGCTATGGAATGGCAAGGCACGTGATACCTGTTGGGCGAAGCAGTAAATATCAAGAGTTCCATTGGACTTGCGATAGGGGCTTGGGCTCCGGGAGCAGGGGTGAGGCAAGTCGAGCAAGGGAGACCCTTTTTATACATGTTGACAAGGTCAACATGCCCATTCCTGCTAGGCTGGTATGGTTGCCATGGTCGGACACGAGCCAGCCACCGCCAGTCCTCTGCAAACACCAGGTAAGGGCGTAAGGGTGTGTTGCCTTTTCAGGAAGGCAGTGTTCATGGACACTGCGGCCGCACGCACATAGCAGAGTACGGTACGCTCAGCTCGAGCAGGAGATTGCCGCACAGGCGCGACAGCAAGGCGCCAGGGCAAGCCACCAGCAGCAGGGTGAAGTATGTATCCTTGTCTGCTCTTTCTGCTGCAGACAACAAACATACAGTGCAAGGCCCACTTGGAGAGGGCAGGCGACACTTGAACACCAGAGCCTCAGCCGGTGTTGATTTTATCAGCTCATGCGCGCAGCTTGAGGACTTTGACGGCGCCACTTACAGCTGGAAGTCACATATACAGTACTCGCCTCCATCGCCAAAACGCAAGCCCTACTCATCGCAAGCGCTCAGTCGCACGTCACGGCAGATCAGATTCTTTCGTGCCATTCAATTCGTTTCATGTATCGAACGTGGAGCTCTGTACAAGCCCTCAATCACTCGGAGCGTCTCGCGTTCCGATTCGCATCGCCGCATCCGTCGCATCGGCCGCGCTCCCGCCTGGCGCGAGTCGCGGCAGCTGGCGGCGGCGGTAGAAAGTACACGGTCGAGCTCCTGCTGCCCAATGGCAAGGTCGCGTCCTTTGAGGCCAGCGCAGGTATGTGCGAAGCGGGTCCAATGCCCTGCCTGCCGCCGCTCGCCCCTCGGCACCAGGGCTTGCAACACTCCGCGCCCACCACGGCGCCTGCCCAACCATCACACCCCCCACATCCGCGGCCGCAGCCTTTGACGCCCTGCCTCCTCCTGCTGACTTCCTATCACCTACCCCTGCATGCCGATCTCAACCCCAATCGTGCCTTGTGCCGATGCAGACGGCCCAACCCTATATGAGGCCGCCTGCTACGCTGGTATATCGCTCCCGGCCAGCTGCCGCCAGGGCTCGTGCTCCGCGTGCTGCGCAAAAGTCGTGTCAGGTGAGGGCGTGCAACCAGAGCACCCCTGGGGCGCCTCGCCCCAGCGCGACGCCAGGCTCAGGGTCGGTTTGCGCACAGCTGTCTCACTGGGAGGGGGGGGGGGGCACTGGTCAATATGGTGGGAGACAGCAAGCCCCCCCTGAGGAATCGTAAACGTCGTGCGAGCAACCGGCATGCTGCATGCCCGAAATTCAGCATCGTCATGCCATGCCACCTGTCCAAGGACCTGAGGCTACTCAGGGCCTGCTGCTGCTGGTACGCACCACAAACCAATCCGTTCGCACTGCCCACCAGTTCGCCTACACTAGCCTCCCTGCTGCTGCACCCCTCGTGTGTAACTTCCTCCCAGGCCGCGTGAGCTGCAAGGGGCCCACCTGCGTCCCCAAGTCGCTGGCCCGGCAGGGTTACATGACTCTGTGCACCTGCCGGCCCGCGTCTAACGTCACCATTGCGACGCACCAGGCAAGCCCTGGGCCCGAAGCAAGGCTGACGGCGCGCGGCGCCTCTTGCTCGAGAACGCCGGGATTTCTGCACGCGAGAGCCCCGGCCGTCAATTTAGGCAAGCACACTGCAGCAAAGCAGGGACGATCAGCAAACCAAATTGCAAACGTGCACCCTGGCCCTCGCCCCGCGCCTGTCGCAGGGCCGCGTCGTGCGGGAAGCCAACCAGAAGGAGGCACCCAAGGTCAAGTGGTGATGACATCATAATTATGGGGTCGTGTGTTGTCCACAATGCACAGTTGGAGCATGCATGCGGACGGCTGCCTCCAACTTTTGATTTGCAGCAGGCCAACAATCAATATGCCAACTGATCTGACGATAACACGCAGTCAACAGATTCGAAACGTGCCTTTGAGTTGACCCCAATTGAAGCATTTGCTGGGCCTGGCACGATGTGTATGAACTGGTCCAAAACCCGTCCTTCTGAGATGTTGGTGTGCGGCCACTGAACAATGGCTGATCATCAGCCTGCACTCCATACCCGTTGCGTACCATGTCCGCCTGCATGGCCGCCCATCCAACGGAAAATAGTCAAACAAGGCTCCAATCAAGTGAAGGAGGTGCCCCAGATTGCGCTCCCTGTCACTACACATGCCTCCTCCTCCCACCTGTTCGCAATACTTTTACCGGTAGTTCTAGGCCAGACTCTCAATTTGTCCCTGCACGATCCAGTGTAATCAGACCGTCACATAACCTTACACGTGTGGTCACTGGCCACACAACGCCACGCTGCCAGACACGTACGGTAACAGGGCGGCAAGGCGACAGCACAATTTGGAAGCGCAGCGCTACTGAGGTAGGCCCTCGCCCACGGCTGCGAACGCAAGCAGGAAGTGAATAAAACGGACACCAGACCATACGTGCGAAGAAGCATAGGGGATGTAACTGCTGCTTGTGACCAGACAAACACACATACGCTCTGCATGCCATCTTACGCTCGAGAAAAGCCGTCAGTCTGGTCAGTGTCGCCAGAGCTTGAGCACCCTGTCCTTGCCGCCCGACGCCACGCCGCCGGCTGTCGGGCTCCAGTCGACCGTAAACACCTCGTCCGCGTGGCCAGGCAGGTCCACCAGCAGCTTCTTTGTGCGCACGTCCCACACCTGGGGAGGTTTAGTGGGGGTTGCGTCAGTCCTACAGTAAGATGGCAGGTGTCCAGGAGCGGGCCAGCGGCCGCGGGCAAGGAGGCGTGCTGCTGCCAGGAGGGGAGGCAATACTGAGTGGTAGGTCGTTTGGCGGGGCTGAAGCGGGTGGGCGCGGGTGGATAGGTGCGCAGTGGTGAGCTGTTTGAGCCGCACGCGCGCGGCGCGGCTGCCCCACCTTGAGGGTGCTGTCTTTGCTGCCGCTGACAAAGAGCCGGCTGTCGCTCGACCACGCGACCTGGAGGTGAAGCAAGGGTCAGGGTTTGCAGTCAGCAAAGGTGGGCAGGATGCACAACGACAAGCAAGCGGCTCATGGGACAGGAAGCGTTGGTGGCTGTCTGCTGCCAAATATTCCACACAGAAGAAAGCAAGCATGCGCGTGTGCGCAAGAGATGGACGGCCCCCCACCTGATAGACCGGCCCCACGTGGCCACGGAACGTGGCTAGGAAGGTCCCCTTTGCGCCGTCCCACAGCTTGATGCTCTTGTCGAAGCTGGCGCTGATCACCCAGCGGCCATCTGGGGAGAATGTCACCTGTTTCAGGAGGGGGGGGGGGAGGTTATAGAGGTCGAAAGCAGGAGTGCGCTTACAGATCAATTTTGGGAAACGGGCTACAAGGGTTGAAGCGCGAAGCACCCCGCCGCAGCATGGCGGCGCCCTCCACACAACGCATTCACCCTCACAAGCAGCTCACACTATAATCATCCGAACGCAGGCCCACCAACCCCATCAGGCCCCCACCTGGTTGATCAGCTGCACGTGCCCCGTCAGCCGCGCAAGGTGCGCCTTGCCCGCCGACGGCTGCCAGAGAAACATCGTGAAGTCGTCGCTGCCGCTGACGAGGCGCTCGGGGCGGCCACCCGTCGCCTCATCGTACCGCTTCTGCGCCGCCTGCGGGCGCGCCAGGCGGTGTTGAGAAGGGGGAGGGGGGTACGTGAGCAAAGCTTGAGAGGCGGTGCCGTTTGATGGGAGGGTGCCCAGAGGTGGCTGAGGATGCCGCGGAAGTGAGGGGGTGGTGTGAATCCTTGCAAATCCGACCGCTGCAGTCCCCGAGCGGGCCTCTGGTGGCCGGGTGGCACTCCCCTGCCTGCAACCCCTCTCCACGCCCGCCCCTCAACCCCCTTCTCCTGCCGTGGTGCACATGGCCGCTGCTCGAACCTCCTGATCTCTGCACCTCAAGCCCTCAGGTGACCCAGAGGCCTGCGATCTGAACAAAGTCCTAGACCGCCCAGCCGCGGCACCCACCGCCTTGGCCTCCTCGGGGTCATCAGGCGCTGCCCCCTTGTGGTCAAAGGGCCCAGTCCTGAGGGCGTACTCGCTGCTGAGGGCCAGGGTGTTGACCCAGTGGCCGTGCCCCTGCGGTGTGTGGGTGTGTGGGTGTGCGGGTGTGGGTATGCGGGTGTGGGTGTGTGGGTGTGGGTGTGTGGGTTTGCAGGTGTATGGAAAAGTGGGTGTGTGTGTGGAGCAGGAGCAGAGGGCTGTTGAAAGGATGGGTGAGGGAGAGGGCAGGGCGACAGGTCGGTGAAGCAGCTGGGTTAGTGGTGTGCAATACAGGTGTCTGGGTGGGGGGAGAAGATAGTGGTTGGTCCTCGATACAGTCACGAGTGGGCAGGTTGAGCCAGGTCCAAATTACAAGATGGCCAGCGCCTGAGTGTCACGCCCACCGTGCGTGGCCGGAGGGGGGCTTTGGAACTGGGCGCCGCCACGCCGGCACGGGACCGACTGCATGGCCGCGCGATTCCCCAGGCCTCACCCGCGCCCGCACCCATGCGCTTGATGCGGTGCGGTGCAGCGATTGCAGGCAGTCCCCCGCGAGCGCACCTTGAGGCAGCGGACCAGCTTCCCGTCAGCTGCATCCCAGCAGTTGATGGTGGTGTCGCGGCTCGCGGAGTAGATGAGCCCCTCGCCGCCCCACTTGACGGCTGTGATAACCTGCTCAGGGCGCGGGGCCCGCCGGAGCACGGATGCACGCATGCTGATGTGTGAAAAGACGTGGATTGTGCGCTTGCTCATCAACAGCACTGATGCGTGACCGCCTCTTGTATTGGCCCTCCTTCCTGGGCCCGCGAACACCCCTCTCCCAGCCGCTGCCCCATCAGATGGCTCATCCAGCGCCCCTGCTCCGGTCCCAGGCTCACCACCAGCTCAATGGCGCGCTCGCCACCCACCCCACGGCCTTGACACGCGCAGTCTCATGCGCCCACGCTCACCCAACCCACACGCCAACACCCAGCTCCTCGCCAATCCCCCCAAAAGCGTCACCGCGCCCCGCACCATGGTGTGGCTGCTCATCGTGAAGAGGCACCGCCGCGTCGCGGCGTCCCACACCCGCACGGTCATGTCCTTGCTGCCGCTCACAAACCGCCGGCTGGGCAGCGCCTTGTGCGCCGGCTCCCATGCCTGCCAAAGAGGGCGGCGGGGGTGGCGGCGGCGGCGATCAAAACTATGACAGCTCCTTTCTCAAGACCGCGCAGTTGGCTTGTGCGCCTGGCGCAGCCAGCTAAGCTTGGCTGCCTGCAAACCAGCAAGCAAGGCACCACTGCCCCAACCCCCGCCGGATAGCAGCCCCCACCAAGGATGTGATCCACTTCTTGTGGCCGCTGCAGCTGCCCAGCAGCTTCCCGTCCTTGGGGTCCCACAGCAGGATCGACCCGTCCATGTCGCCGCTGGCAATCATCTGGGCGTCGGGCGACCACGCCACCACGAGCACCCAGTTTCTGTGACCCTGGTGTGCGTGTGCAATTGGAGGGTCTTGAGTGAATGCCGTGCGCCTCCTTGGCTGTTGAGGGGATGCAAATGCGGAGAGCCCACCTCCTGCCGCCGTTCTCCCCCGCCAAATACATCCAAGCAGTCTCTGAAAACCAAGGCCCAACATTTTCCTTGACTGCATATGCACAGTACGTGCTCATCGACCGCCCCACAGACATGAACACCGTGGACCAGCCCAATGAGCCCCACCTTGCACTCGCACTGCGGCAGCTGCGTGTTGAGGTCCCACAGCCGCACCGTCGTGTCCCCGCTGCCGCTGGCCAGCCGCCGCCCATCCGGGCTGAAGTGCACCGCCAGCACCGCCTCGGAGTGGCCCGGCATGCTGGCGGTGCACCGCGCAACGGGGCGCACCCGGAAGACCTGCAGGGCGCAGCAAACGCGGGCGGTGGGCGGCGCGCCGGCTGCTGCCACGTGCTGCGTGTCGCGGCGCACGAAGCGGCGCGATCCGCATGCGAGGCGACGCGACACGGCTGCCCTTGTGCTGGGTTCACGACAGGCACGCCGCTGCCCTGACCACAAAGCCAATCAGAGGCAGGGGAACATCTCCTGTCCCCCAGGAGCCCCTTCTTGGGTCCAAGAGTCGCTCACCGCCTGGGGGAGGTATGTGATGCGCAGCGCCCGCTCCACCGACGCGCCAGCCTTCAAGAGGTGGGCGCCCAGCTCCCCGCTCAGCTCCTGCACGTGTGGCCGGCGGGATGGCGGCAACGGGTGGGGCGGCCGGTGCTTCGGGCCTCGGCGGCCGCCGCGCCGCGGCTGCGTAGGCCTTGCGCAGCCGCCCCCGCAGCTGCCGTCACGTCACTGGGCGCGGCGCTGCTTTCCAGGGACTGTGGCCGTGCTTAGCACGTTCCCAGAGCCCCTTGATTGGCGCCAGGTGCAGGCTCATCGTGTTTCATCCAACCATAGCCCCACCTGATCGTCCAGATAAAAAGAGTATGGCATCTTCTCATCATTCTGCAGCAGGCCGTTCAGCAACGTCTCCAGCTGCGCCGTCGTGACGCCCTGCGGCACGTCCAGCTGGGGCCCTGCCAGAGGCGACGTTCACATGCGGACGTCGCATGCAAAACAAAAGCGGGGCGCAAAGCTGCGCCGGAGGCGTGCGGCGGGGCGGCGCGGCGGCCAGGCGGCGGCGCAGCGGCGCAGCGGGCGGCAGTGGGGCGGCGAGGATGTAGCACGCGCGCGGTTCACCTGTGGTTTCCCCATCAGATGTATGAAATTGTATAATGACGTTTGCTGCCTCCGGGTCCAAGCGGGGCTGCTTTGCGGGGGGTTCCTCGTTCGCCATGATTGCTGCGACGCTTTCAAGCATCTATTAAAATGTAGCTTTTTGCATACCAGCTACAGGGTCTGACTGCAAGCGAGGTCGGGGGATGGTGCGCATGGCTTCGACACCCGGTGACACCGGCCGCCGCCGTGCTGTCATATGGTCGGCTTGGGCGCGCCCTCAATACAAAGTCCCACGGTTTTGAAACAACATCTGCCACAGATCAATGCTTTCGTGGCCAACAAAACCATCATCAAGACTGTGTACTGTAGCCCAGGCGCGGGCCGCGCATTTGCAAGAGACCGTTACTTCGCCGCTGCAGTGCTGTTGTGTCACATATTATAACCATTTTGCATCCATAATCATTTTACAGATAGAAGAATGCCCGTGGCAGCTGTCCGAACTTAGAGTACCAGGCGCATCATTCGACGCGGTCAAATGCACAGACCGGACTTGGCCAAAACGGTCCCGCTGCAACAGAAGCGCACGCATGCAGCGAACAACAAAGACGCTCCACCAACACGGAGGACTTGTTTCTTTCAGTCTCGAACGCCGGTTCGCAATTCACTTGGGCTGCGCTTGTAGTTTGCCGGTACCGTAAAGCGCCATAACTTGCCACCTTGGACTGTCGTGGTGGTTGCGAGCTGCTGCATCGCCACCATGGCCCCCGCGTGCGCCTTCGGAAAATAAGCATTCGAGCTAGCTGATGACTGTGCCTCAGCGTAGTTGCTGTTCAGTGACTATCCGGCCCATGGCTGAAGCCGCACTGCGAGGAACGTAGGCCCAAGAAGAATACGACCTTGCTCACGGCGCAATATAGTTGCGGATGCTTCCAAGGCCTTTCATGATTATACATGAGGGTTTCTCACCAGTCGATGTTGGCAAGTGACCTGCAGCGCTCGGTGGCGAACAAGGGTATCCAGCGCGCGCCTCCGCACATATTACATAACGGCAACATATTTGATTGATTGGGAGACTGCCCGTGTCCCAAGAGGAATCGTGCCCAAGGCTGTGACGAGCGTCGAGAGAGGGGCCAACAGGCCAGCTTCTGCGCTGAGCATCCTACACAGACATTTCAGTAATGCGTGCGGCTGCGGCCGTGGCCGCTGCAGCACTTCTGCTGCTGCTGGCCGCGGCGCCGCACCGGTGCACGTCGATGCCAGTCACAGTTGTTACAGCGCCGGTGGCGCCGCCCGCCGTGCTCCCTGTCAGCGCCGTGACTGCTGCGCCGCCTTGTGAATCCTGCAGCTTATCTTCCGCGGCAGCATGTGCCACGCAGGCGCTGTGCGGGGAACCCACCAGGGTTTGGCCGCGGCTTGCCATGGTGGTTGGCCTCTGGGACGACGAAGGCGACCGCACAAACTGCTCAGCCCCACCGCCCGCGCCGCCGCGGACGGCGGCAGCCCCTCCGCCCGCGCCGCCGCGGACGGCGGATGCGGCTGCGTTGATACGGGCCCACAACATCTGGAAGAACGAGCTTGTGCTCGGCGCCGTCCTGCCCCCAGCCTGGCGCGAAGCGCTGCCGCACGCCGCCCAGACGTGGCTCCGCAACTGCCTGCTGGCGGCCGCGATATGCGTACTGCCCGGTGCCGCCTGGATCGCCGCCCAAGCGCTCCGCGGCGCGCCCGGCGCCGGGCCCGGCGGGCTCTCGCTGCTGTCGCGGCCGAGCATCCACGCGCAGCTGCTCGCCAGCTTCCGCGCGATCCCCGGCGTCACGCTGCTGCCCACCGCCGTCGAGGCAGCGGCGGAGGCGGGGTGGACGCGGGCGTACGCCCGCGTGTCAGACGCGTCGTCACCGGCCGCTTACGTCATCTCGTTAGTCATCTACATGCTCGCCGTCGAGTACGGGGTGTACCTCGTCCACAGGACCATGCACAGCGTGCCTTGGCTGTACAAAAACGTCCACTGCGTGCACCACGCATTCAATAAGGAGCACACCATGTCGCCGTTTGCGGGCCTGGCGGTCCACTCTGCAGGTGAGCAGGGCGCCCTGTCGCACCCTGCGACAGGGGTTGTTAGGTGGATGCAAGCAGGAAGGGGACACTTTGCAGGGAAGGGGTAGGCTGACGCGTATTATGCAGGGGGTTACTTCAGCTTGGATGAGGTGGCTTTGGCTGGCCGGAGCGTAACGGACCCCTGTGCCCCGTCCCCCGCGTGTGCGCAGACGGCATCGCGCAGGCGTTGCCCTACGCGCTCATGCTGTGTGTCATCCCGATGCACTACATTACGTACGAGGTGCTCCTGGGTTTGTCATCCCTCTGGTGAGTGACGATTGTGCAGGTGTGGACAAGCAAACCACATTGATTGATATGTGACCGCTGACACGTGTTGCTGCAGGGGCATGAGCAGTGGCCGCAAAGCCTAGGGAAGTGAAGTGGATTGGCAGTCGCAGCGATAGTAAACTGCTTTGTGGCCGGCTGCGTGCCATGTGGCTTGAAATGCCGGCAATTGTGGCAGGGCCAAGATATGGCACCTGGCACCGTTACTGGCAAGGTGGGAACTCCTTCACGCATGCTGGGCCCCACCCCTTTCGGGCTGCCCAAAATTGCCAGTTGCATCTCTCTCTCGCGCGCTCTGGTGCACCAGGGCCGCCAACACGCACGACAACGTTCATGGCGGCGTGCCATATGTAATGGGGGCGGGGTACCACACGATCCACCACACAACTTACCGCCACAACTATGGTGCGCTGGGGTTGAGAGGGGCGGTGCAAGTGCCGTGTCACAACGTCATACTGCTAGGCGTGGCTGGGCGGAAGCCAGCGGGGGCGGCGCCTGGCGGGCAACTGTGCGGCGCTGGCGCGCCTGGCACCTGAGCGGACGCGGCAGGGCGCGCGGTGCCGTCAAAGGGTGCAGGGCCCACAGGTTGGTCGAGCTTCCCAGTCACTCCTCACATCCGCCCCCCCCCCTGTCGCTGCTGACCTTACCCAAACCATCCACCCGCTGAACAATCAATCATAATCATCAATCATAAATCGGCAGGCCAGTACCTGATTCTTATGGACTGGCTCCACGGCACCCTGGTGACCCCAGAAAGCTTTGCGGCCCACAAGGCAGCAGCCGGCCCCAGGAGGGCTGGCTGAGACGCGCCCACTCGCGGCGCCCTCGGCCGAGCCCCTCCCTCGGCCGCTCAGCTGCAGCCGCGGCACGCTGGAAGGAAGCTCTCCGCTTGGGCGGACCCCCAGGGAGCGGCAGCAGACGCCGGGTGCGGCAGCGACATGACGGGGGTCCCCGCAGATGGTTGTTGTGCGCTGGCATGCAGCGTGGCGCCAGTCCCGGCTTGTTCAGCGCGCAAGAGCCAGCCAGGGTCCTGGTGGGCCCGCAGACGGCCGGCGCGATGTGCAGCGCCAGGCCGGAGGCCGCGTTCTGGGATACGTCGTGCGTGTGTGTATGTGTGTGTTGCGGTGTCTGTATATGTGTTTAGGTCTTTCTGAGCGGTGAGGGGTGCATGGCCGAGCGGCAGAATGACAAAACAATTTGTTCTACGGTCTTTCTTTTCATCACATCAGAAAACGTCGCCCAATATCTGCAGCTTCCGCCGCGGCAGCCGGCGCCCATGGCATAGCCGCGCGGACAAGCCGTCCTGGTTTACAGGCCTGCAAGAATCTTTGGGCTGGCAGGTCCATGCCCGCGCCCCGGCTCTGCCGGCGCAAGCGGCAGGGTTACATTCATAGCAGGCCACTCTTCGTGGTGGCTTTGCAGCTGTTGAAGTTGCGATTGTGATTAGCCTGCCTGTCAAGCGGCCGCCAACCATTTTGAGCGGCTGCATCGCAGGCAGTTTGATCTCCCACGCGTTCATGCATTCATACACGCAGCACACATGTGCGCATATTGTTGCAGGTGCTCCAGGTTTTGCACCAAATCGCCATGCGATTTGGCGGGCGCATGGAACAGTCCACATTCGCATGAACACACTTTCTGCATGGGCTCAGGGCACGCGTGGTCAATTGTTGAGTCAGATTGATTCTCCACCGTGGAATGACAAGATTTGGTTTGCAGGTGTTGTTTGCGTTGATCCTGGCAAGAATCAGGCACAGTTGGGATGGGTGTTTGAAGCTGTTCACATCATGAGCTGGGCCTCATCTCTGCTTTGCTGCCACACCCGCTTGTCCGCGCACGCGTGCGGGCCCCACGCACCACCCAGCCCCCTGCGGCGTGATGCATGTCCAGGGGCCGTACACTGGTGGCTTTTTGGCTGCCGCGACACCCACTGCAGGATTGCTCTGGTGCTCCTGCAGGTCAGTGCACTGCGTTCAATCACGTGTGCGTCAACTTGCGTGGCCGCTCATCACGGCTACACAGCAGCCATGCATTCATGATGCGCAGTAGCCAACAGCAACACTTTCTTTAGAGTCCATTGCGCACACCATGCACACACTGGTGCACCGCAAGACCCCAGGCCATGTATCCTACAACCACTCTAATCCTTCACCACATGTTTGACCCGGATCATCCACACCAGCAGCAGCGTCACGAGCAGTCAGCTGACTCCATAATCTGTCCTGCCTGATCAAGGTTTGTAATCAAACTGTAACAAGCGGTGCATTTTCTAACCTCAGAACGTTGGCATAGAATTATTCACGTTTGGTCAGACTGGTTTACTAGGTGGCGGTGCAGCACACGCGCGTGCTGTCAATTCTGCTCGTTCTGTAAGCCAGTAGGTGCGTGTGCAATACGCGTTACAGTATCCTCAATCTGTATCCTGCAGCATATGCAGGACGCGCAAAAAAATGATGGGGTGGACGGCAACAAAAACGCCGGTCAGCAGGCCACAGTTTGGAATGAAGTCGCAAAGCCATGAGTGCAATGCTCCTAGTGTCCCGGGACTTCTCCCATTCTCTGCTCACCCTCGCTCGGCACACAGTATGCATGACTAAAAGAAAACCGTAAAAGAAATCCGCTGCCCTCCAAAGAAGTCACCTGGCAAACGCTGAGAAAGGCATCAACACATCCAGCAAATTCACTCGCATGCCAGCTCAAAGGGAGCTCTGAGTACCGTCGCTCAAACCATGGCGGCCACCTCAGAAGATCCGGCGCCCCGCATGCCCTTGAGTAGTGTAGCTCTCGCGCTCTATCCTGGCGGCGGCGCTGCACCGCAACTGCACCTGCTACTGCGCCTGCCACTGCGCCTGCCACCGCCGCCTGCCACTGCACCCGCCACTGCACCTGCCACCAACACCACCGCAGCAGCAGCCACAGCACCTGCCACTGCGCCTGCCACTGCTGCCTGCCACTGCAACCGCCACTGCACCTGCTACTAAAACCGCCGCAGCAGCGGCCGCAGCACCTGCCACTGCGCCTGCCACTGCCGCCTACCACTGCAACCGCCCGGGCACCTGCTA